ACAGTTATTATCTCCATTTGACAACTATTTAAACTGAAGACTGATGCTAACAGTTCCAAGTCCAGAATGGAGGCCTAAATGGGCCAAGATTCGCCAGAAAAGTGAGCACACACAGCATCTTAGACAAAGAGAGTAACCTAAGTATTTCTTGCAGTTTTCGGTTGAACCATGTTCATTCTGTTTGAAGGAAATCAGCACATAACCAAATTCCCAGCTTGCCATGTAAGCACCAAAGCTGTTTTTTGGATGGGATGTGGGCAGGCAGCTGGTTATGGTGGCAGGTGGGGAGGAAGGAGATGGCCTGGCCTTCACAGGAGCACCGTTAACACCAGACCCTACAACAACATTCCCCATTTTTACACCCTGCCTGTTTTCCAACCTACTGAAAACTTTTTTCTCCTGTCCAGAGCACCTGTCTGCTTCTGCCCATGCATGTTCCCTTCCTCTGAGGTCTCACCTGACAAGAGCTCAGTGTGAAGTCTAGGGTGGCAGTTTCCCTACGGAGGGAGTGCCTGAGCCGTAGACAGGCGGAGAGCTGACTTCTGGCCCCATCACTTACTGTGAATTCAGGCAAAAAATGGACACTCAGTCTCCCCCTCTGTCAGCTGGGGGTAGCTGCGCCCCCTCGGGTGGCTGGGAGGACTCAGTGAGGTGGAGCCTTCAGCTCCTGCCCGGCATGTGATCAGTGCTCCCTCCCTCTTCCCTTAGTCCTTTCCTACCTTCTGTAGGCTGATAAATCAAGAGGTCACCAAATAGTCTTTTAGCAGAACGAGCTCTCCTATTGGTGTCCAAGTAGCCAAAGCCACCCCCCCCCCTTTAACTAACTCTTGCACCTGTGCCGGCTCCCTCTTCAGGACAGTGTGAACCACAGCCTCCTCTGGTCTTCACACCCCTGCTCCTCTGCAAACCCATGGTCCCTGCCTGAGTTCAGGCCAGCACCACCTCTTCCCAGTGTTGTCACTGGTCTCCGCCATCCAGTCCAAGCTCCACACTGTGACCAGCTTGATCCTTCTAATTTAGGGATTTAATCCTGTTAATTCTCATTTGTAAGAACTACCAACAACTTCCCCCTGGGGCCTAACGAATAAAGTGCCTCCATCATTGGAACAGTGCTGAGACTTTTTATCAGGCTCATTTCTTCCCTGGTCTCATTTCCTATCATGCCACCTCAATTCAGTTACCAGGATCCCCAGCTGTCAGCAATCACCGCTGGTTGGAAGATCGGTGAGGGTTTCAACAGAGGCACCAGCACTGAGACAGCCTGAGTGCTCATTGACTTTACTTAATAATAATGTATCAATATTTATTAATTGTGACAATTCTGGAGAAATAAAAACAAACCTATTGCATCAAACAGAAATCTAGAGGAAATGGGTCATTTCCTAGTAATGTAAACTTTAATAAAATAAGGAAAATACAGATAAATGCCCCAGCCAGGGACCTCTTCCCCCTGCTGGTTCTCCCCATTGTTCTGAGGCTTCCCTCTCCCAGGAAGTTAGGAACTTCCCTAAGATCTGGCCCCACCCGGGGTCTTCCCCGCCCCAGCCATGCCCGGGCAGTGAGGACACAAGGCAGAGGGAGTCTCAGAGGTGACCGATTCTGATGTCAGCTAACACCATTTGATTGAAAGGGACTGGGCACACTAACTGAAGTAAAAAAGTTAGTAATTTTTAAATGGTAGGAATAAGTTAGTACTTGCAAGTTTAAGAGTGGGTTTGGATCTGGCAGGTCGGTTCTCACGCTCTCACAGTGCTATCTGGTCCCTCTCAGCCCTCTGTCCTGCTCAGTGCCTTGGAGTGGCCCAATTCACAGGCACAGTCTCTCTCACTGTATTGGGGCCTCCAGCAGCTCCAGGCAGACACTCATTCACCACCCATTCTACCAGGAAGGGTTTCTCCGTCCCTTGGGTTCCCTATAGCCACAGCTTCGCATGCCTCTGAGCTAGCTCACATCACACTCTCATTCTCGAACCCATCAGAGTGCCCAGAGGATGAAATGTGGGATTGGCTAGATGTGGGGTCAGGAACTGTTTGGAGTGGGGGCAGGTGGGATGAACTCCCAAAGGGAAGCTGAGGTGCTGGACATGGGCAGGAGAACAGACGCTGGGTTGGTGATAGCAGCCGATTCCACATCACTGATGCCCACTGCACAGCTGTGGGATCTAAAGGAAGGGGTTCACAGGGTTGGGGCTGCAGCCACCGCTCCATGCTCTTGCTGTCCCCCTGCAACAGCAGGAAGCTCTTCCACTTGATAGAAAAGCAGCATTGCTGTTGGTGGGAAACTCAAGGCTCCTGCCTTGGTCAACAGGTCCTCACATCTCAGAAACTGGCCCAGAGTATCTGCCTGCCCTTGGAAGGCACACACACCCCATGCGTGTGCCTGGGGAAAGGGAGCCCAGGAGTCACACCTGCCCAGGCCACATTAATCAGCCATCCCCATAAAACCGACCCGCTCGTTTCCCAGCATCTTCTGCCTAACTTTACAAAGAGCAGAGCCAAAGGCTAGGCTGGGAAGGAAATTCCTGCTCAGTGTAGCAGCAGCTCAGGGATGCTCTACACAGCGACTTCCAACCACTGTGCTGAAAGCATGTTTAAAGCACGCAACACCTGACGATGCAGTCAGGGGCACTGACCTCTTCTCCCTGACCGGACAACAGCTGTCCCGTGTGCATGAATCCAAGTTATACTTGTGTTTCCGTCAGGCAAAAAATGTATTTTTTTGGTGTGCCGCATAATTTTAGGAATTAGTTTATGAGTCATAAAATGCAAAAGGTTGAAAATTGCTGTTCCATACCACGGAGCATTTGGCTGGCTTTCCAGAGGCCACAGGGCCTGGGCCATGAACACCTGCTGGCCTCCAGTACATGCAGCCTCAGGGCGGAACTGCCCAGGCCAGACACTGTCCTCCTACAGCTGGGGTCACGGGGGTCAC